ACTCTGACCACTTCTCCAAGACGGGGACAGCGATCATAACCTTATCCATTCATTAATCCACAGAGTCGACTTCCCAAAGAGTTTTTGAAGGGACCCTACTATTAGGAGATGCTCTGCAAACATTAAAAAGTAAAATCTCATGTTGGAAGTCTGGGAACTCTATGTGGTATTTATGTCTTGGAGACTCACACTGTCATAGCAAAGGCTCTGAGAAGTCCTGCAGTGCAAGAACACTGCAGAACTTTAACCTGTCCGATTGGGCATTTCTCGATCTTATCTGTGCACACGCAAGTTTGTGTGTGCGTGTGTGTGTGGGGGGTCTTCTCCCTCATAGAACATAAAAGCAATTACGCCCCTCCACACACCCACATACCCTCACAATACAGAAAAAATGCTTGAAACCCAGTTCCAGGAATCACAATGGCAAAGGTAACAGCATGCCCTGCAGCCAGTCAGAGCAACTCAGGTTCAATCCCAGCTCCTCAAGTCCTGCAGCCTAGGGATGTTATTCAACCCTCCAGAGTCTCAGCTTTGCCCTAAGTGAAAACTGTGCTGCTATGTCCACTCCTGTCTGCCTGTGCGTGCAATGCAAAAGCATCTGGCACGCAGTAGGTATGTTAAAAATGTGACTCTCCCTCCTCTCTCTCTGCAAAATCACAAGTGGAGACATTTGAAAGCACTCTGGTCATTTTTTAAAATGCTCATAAAACTTTAAATCAAATTATTTCAAAAAGCGCCCATCTTGGAATGGCATTCCATTACCTGGTCTGCATGTTTTCATAAATAGAGGCGTCAGGGAAAAAAACTGGCAGGGCTGCTCTGAGACATGCAGATGTGAAGGAGACCCAGGATTTCACACAGTTACTCGGGATTTAATACCAAGGAAGCTGCTTGTGTCAAATATTACTTTATGCAACCGAAAGTGATATGACTTGATACAGTCATAAAGTGCATTCCAATCAAGATACAGCTGTTGTTACCATTACTAACAACTGTTTTATCCCAGCGTATTTTATTGAAACCATAAGGATGGGCACATTTGAAATAAGCATCCCAGGTAATTTTCAGAAGGCTGTCTCGCACAGAGTCCACCCAATCATTCCGCCAGCATTTTCACGGAGGCAAATGAGGGGTTTCACAAGCTGGAAAGAGCCATCTCGGGACACCGTGATTAAATAGGAGCGAACGGGACAGGATACAGAAAAGGAGTAATCTTCCCTGGCTCCGAAATAAAACCAGATTATCAGCCAGCGAGAAAGTATCTCTGCGGGGAGACTAGATCTCAATCTACAGTCGGATTCCTTTCAAGCCTGGATGTCTTGAAAATGCCCATTAAAAGCCTACTATGGACTTAATTACGAGAGGCAGATAGTAAGAGTTGAGTTCATTCCCTCCTGTTGCCTGGGGTGGTTTAGAGCTGCCAATCATCTCCCGCTTCAAAGAGGCTCAAGGTGCGGACACCACCTTCAAGAGGATGGCTGGACTGTGAGGTAGGGGTGCCGACCCATCAGGTGGCCCTGACAGAAGGGGGGCCTTCAAAGTGCACTGAAGGGACCGCTTGCTAACAGCAGCGGCGGTTTTACCACTATCCCAATATACAGGGTTTGAGCCAAGAAACTCCCTCATCCCTGCTTCTCATTTCTTAGCTTCTGAGGTCCTTCCTCCCACCTCCACTCACCTCCACACTGTTTGGGTGTGATTTTACATGATGTCCTGTAAACTATGATGTGGCCTTGACCTACACACACACACACACACACACAGAGTAAAGGACAGCAGAGGAAAGAGCCCATCTCAGTAGAAGCAGCATCAGCTCTGGAATCAGAAAGACCCAGATTTGAATCCTGTCTCCCTCCCTTCTTGCTGTGTGGCCTTAGGCAAGTCACCTAACCTCTCAGAGCCCCCATTTTCTGTCTGTAAATTGCAGACAAGGACACGCCACCTAAGTTTAATAAGAGGCCCCTGGTTCATAACAGGGTACCTGATAATGTCATTCCCCCAACTGGAGAGCAGAAACCTTGCAGCCAATGTTTGTCAGCCTCCATTGTTTCCCATAGAACAACTCCCTCCGTCCGAGAAAAAAACTTAGAGAGGCCAGCTGAGAGAGAAAAATGTTAAATAATTCAGTAGCACTAACATCAAGTCTGATGTAGGTATAAAAATAGTTACAAAACACCACACTCCTCTTGTTTTCATTACAGCAACCTTGGCTCCCTGGTAGGAACAGGAGCTAGGGTCTGGCCTGAGGCTGAGGCTGAGGCTGGGGCTGGGGCTGGGGCTGAGGCTGGGGCTGGGGCTGGGGCTGAGGCTGGGCCTGGGGCTGGGGCTGGGGCTGAGGCTGGGCCTGGGCCTGGGGCTGGGGCTGAGGCTGAGGCTGAGGCTGGGGCGAGCCAAGCAGGCAGTCCCAGGGTGTTCGCATGGGGGCCGACAAGTCTAAAACCAAACTTTGGTTGCTTTGCCTGCCGAGTCCACGCTGGGGATGGAGATGCCAGCTGGAGCCCAAGGCCCTAGGCCAGCTCTCTCTCTGGCTTTAACCCCATGGATAGCACTGTATGAGTCATGCCAGGGGTCTGGGCCTCATTTCCTCCTGGCTGCATGAAAATCAAATAAGCTAATGAGTGTGAAAGCTTCCGAGGTGCGCTCAGGTCTGCTCCTGTGTGGGGCTTGGGCTCAGACGGAGGCCGTCGCGGAGCTCATGTGACCAGTGACCTCCGTGAGAATGCGAGACCCACCTTTGGAACTGGGGAGAAGGGCTGTGAGGGGAGAGGGCCCTTTCCAGCTGAGGGACCTCCCTTCCAGCCGCTCACAGCATGGACAGCCTGGCTGTGAATGGATCTTTCCCAGATTCCAGAGAATATTCCTAACCTTTAAGACAAAGCAGTTTCTTCCCCACAGCCCACCCTGTAGGGAGGACCCCCACCCTGCATCTCCTTGGGAATGAACCTCATGTAGGCTGTCCCCATGTCCCATGCCCAGGCAGCAGAGGGCAAAGACTAGATGTGACAAAACTCGGGGAAGGGACCTACTTTCAGCCACCACCTCCTCTTCAGCTTCCTCGGCACCTTCCTCAAATTCTCCTACTTCCACCTGGACAGGGTTGGCTCCCACGGGTACCTGGGTGGGAGGGGAAGGAATGGTTCATTGGCCCCACCTCATCCCAGACCTGGGAGAAAGGGCTGGAGGCCCGGGGTGGGGGTAGGGGGCTTGGCTGCAGCTTTAGGTACCCACAGGGGACAGTGGGATGACAAGCTGGAGAGCTGTGCTGGACCCAGGTCACAGAGGGCACAAATGCCAGCTCCAGAGTCTAGACTTAATCTTATAGCCCCACTGCGTCTGTTGTGCTCTACGGTTCTATCGAGAGGCATCAGGGGCCACCAAGGGTGTCAGGGCAAGAGGGGGTGTCAAGCTCTCTACCCCCACCAGCCACACAGGGGCAGCTCCCCTTTCATCTGCTTGGTGTATGGGGAGATTGGGTGATCATCTAAGAAAAAATGGTCCCGCAGCTAAAAAAAAGTAAAAATTTTCAAAATTGTAACTCTCACCTGCAGGGTTCCACTGAAGGTTTGGGAAGCATTCAGGAGGGTATCAGACTGGAGGATGTGTAGGGTTTATATCTGTGCTGCACGCACATGGGGGTGACAAGTGCCCTGTCCAGCAGGAGACCCACAAAACCTGTCTGGTTTCCTCGGGGAATGGGTGTGGGCAGGGAGGGGCAGGGGTCTGGGGTCACCACCCACCTACCTCGGATACCTCAGCCACCGTTTCCTCCACCACCTCCGTCTCATCAGGCAGGGCTTCCTGCTGCTGCTGGGAAGAGAAAATGGGGTTCAGGGAGGTCAAGGCCAAGGCCTGGGGAGGTAGTGGAGCAGCTCACTGGACATTCCAAGGCCATGCGTGACAGGACAAAGGCAAATTCTGAGCTTGAGCTTGGAAGGCGTCCCCAATGCTTCGACTCCAGGGTCTGCAGACCACAGGAGCAGACCACTGCTTCTCGCCTTCCTTCCTCTGCGTTTCGTTCCCTCCTCTGGCAAAGGCTTCCAGTTTAGCTTTGGATAACCACCCCTGGCCCTCTGCACACAGTTCTCGAAGGGACCGTGTCAGTCAAGGTGCCCCCACTCCCCTGGCCGGGAAGCAGGCCCAGGACCCAAGCTCAGCCAGACGGGTGCTTCTTGAAAATATTCTTATAATCTTCATGGCATGTTCTCTCTCAAGATGTGGAAACTGTTGGAGCAGATCTAGTCAGATGCCAACCTCTCCAAAACTGTCCATTAGTTCCTACCTCCCAGACTCTGGAATTTCCTTTTCCTGTTCTCCCCAAGGCCTTTGCTTTTATGATTAATCTACCTCGGTATTCCTTTACCTGTAATTTAGTCAGATTGCAGCCTGTTGCTTGCAACCAAATAGCCCTCACCGATTCAGAAACGAACCCGTCCCTCTTGACTCAAGTCCTCTAAGTCATTCCCATAGCACCGCTCCCCCTCTGCTAGAATTCCTCATGTGATACAGTGGTTGCTGCCTCCTAAAGCAATCCTGGTCTGTTTCTGAGCAACTCTGACTGCTAACAAGTTCATCTTATTACATGGAAACCTCTTTTCTCTGGACTCTCCACCTAGTGGTCCTCATTGTAATTTTTATCCTGAGCTTATTAGTTTAAGGGAAAAAGTCTTCTTAAAATATAAGACAAATAACTTGAGAGGCGGAAGTCCCTATCCCTTCTGAGCAGCCAGCACTGGCAGATTCGATGGCCCTGAGCTGCTGGTGGGAGGTTACGACCAAGCAGAGATGATCTGTAGGCACTTACAGGGGCTGCCAAGGCCCTCCCGGCCAGGCAAATGAGAAAGAAGATCCAGGCCTTCATGGTGCTGGGGACCCTGCAGAGAGAGAAATTGAGATTTCAGTAAGTAGGAGTCTTCTTGATGGAGGTTCCTTCTGAAGCTGAATTCCAGTGATATACAAGATCATTTTATTTTATTATTAAATTTTTATTGATTGATTTTGAGAGAGAGAGAGAGAGAGAGACATCGGTTTGTTGTTCCACTTATTTATGTGTTCATTGGTTGATTCTTGAATGTGCCCTGAGTGGGAATCGAACCCGCAACCTTGGCGTATCAGGATGATGCTAGAACCTACTGAGCTACCTAGCCAGGGCCTACAAGATGATTTTAGATGTACACGTTAAATGAGAGCGAAAGACATGGGAAAAAGTGCTTCTACTCAGTCCTCTTCCACCCTGATTACATGAGAACATCTTAGTCTGATGCTGAGATATCTTTACCGCTCATCTATATTCCTTTCTGCCAGAGAGCAGGCCTCTGGCTCAGAGCCTCCACGGGAAACTATATCCAGCTGGGGTTCAACAAAGTTGTTTTGTCTTCTTTGTATTTCTTTTTATAGCTTCCTTCTCTTGATGACAAAGGTGCACAGATTTTTTCCATTTATGGTAATGGTACAGTCTCCTCTCTCAATACATTTATTTTAAGTTTTTACAAAGTGATCATGAAGATGATTGCCTCGTTTGTCAAGTTCGGACGGTGCTGACCCAGATCACGTCCAAGGGGCCTTCAGTCCCTGATGTTCTAGAATTATTTTCCTATCCCTTCCAAACTCCCCTCCC